GATTCTCTGACACAGACGTACATTTAACTCTAAAGTCTAAACTTGTTCTATCTGTGATTAAATTTTAAAGTTTACATACTATCGATGTTAGGCGTAAGAAAAAAGACAATTCTGATGTTTTTTTCAGAACTGATGATGTTTGTCTTTTTTATCACAGGTTGTATTTAGATTTCAAATTTTGAAACATTGGTAAGAGTAATTAACAAAAAATTAGAAGTATGTGTACAGAGTTTCTAGATTTGTTTTCTGGTAATGGATTAACTCACTGCATATATCTTGATGTAGGAAATCGATGTAGGTAAGGAGATGGTATTATAAAAAGGCTAGAGGTCTTATTGCTGAGAAGAAAAGTTGAGAACACATTTGCTACTTCTTTCCTTGTAATTAACAATATCAAGTTGTTTATCGTTGTAGCTTCACAAGCCTATTGAGGAGACCAAGGAAGGTATATACCCAAGTAGGATGCACTCCCAGAACCTGCCTGCCAAGATACGCATAGCGATGAAATCTTTCAATAACCAAAATCACAATCTGAAGGGGCTTGAGCCTTACACGCACAAGATTGGGTTGCCTGAATCACGAGCCTTATACACCGTGTTACGATCACCTCATATTGATAAGAAATCCAGGGAGCAATTCTCAACGCACGTGAAGAAATTATTTGTGGTTAAAAAGGCAGAGACACATGAGCTGGCTAAGAAGTTCTTTTGGTTAAAACGGCTTCGTGTACTGGGGGCTCAATATGAAGTCAATATTAGTTTCAAGACGCGCTTGGATAAAATGATTGGCTGCAGCAAAGGTGGTGGCCTGCTTAGACTGTAGTTCCAGGCCAAAACAGAAGGCAGACATAGGAGAAAGGAGGTAATAACAAGATAACAAAATGTTTCTCTTGTGGCTGTTGAATAATCCCATTATTGGAATTAATAATAGGTTGGTTAGCCGATGGACTAATTGGTTTTTGCTTGCTGGCCGCTTCCTTGTGTTGCAGGTACTAGAGCTGCTTCAGGTGATCTGAGCCTGAGGTTACAAACTATCCAACTTCTGTGGTTCTTAATTTCTCATCCTGGTTATATCTATCGCGGATAGAGCCATTTATGTATTTTGGAGATGATGCCGATAATAATATGTGGATTCTAGGCATTGTTGATTCTTGCGTGATCTGATTATAGTAACATCCTACTATTGTTTTAAACTGCGTTAGCCTGGATGTATGAGCTAGCATGAATGTCTGAATACATGGTTAATTAAGTAACTGAATCTGACTATGCGTATGTGGGCGAGAATTGGTTCACCTATAGCTAGCTCATAGCCTGGATGTATGAGCTAGCATGAATGTCTGAATACATGGGAAATTACAGTAAGCAGTTAATGTATTGTATGCTTGATTGAGTGCATCTTTCTGTGTTCCACGTCGTTTATGTAGTTTTGTTCATAGCGGAGAGATAGGTCTGATAACTATGTTAGATCCATCTGTAAGTAACTCCTGCAAATATGCATGTGTTGTAACCTGACAACAATGTGTAAATAAGTTTTGGATATATGCACGTGTCTCTGTCTGGAGTCCTCAATTTCCCTCATTTTCCGGTTAAATGGACATACCAGTATATCTCATGGTATTAATATGTAGCAGCATATAAGGACCACCAAACATTGAATTCATTAATTATCAGGATCACCGGTGGTGCGATCTGCTCTGGCCATTCACATGTATAAATATACAAGCCAAGGAATGTATACACATTGTGAATCCGGGCCGGGTGAGTTTAGTAAGACACCACTATAGCATAGAGCATGGGGCGAAGAGACAAGAAGCTTGAGGCTTGAGAGGTATCAGGACAAATATTGCTTTATCGCAACGGCACAGAGGAGGGCGCAATTCCCCAAATTGAGCAATAGGTCCTGATATGCCAAGTGATGAATGTTGCAAATCTGCTGGTCTCCAGCCTTCCAATTGGCTACTTCTCTAGAGCCTTGAAGATGTGACTTAGAGGATGTGTGGACTCATAGACGACAGCTCTGTATTCCTCAGTGAAGCGGTTCTCAGTCATCTCCTCTGCTCTTCTACAGTCTCGGGACGACACTGAACAGTCAGCCACTGCAGGCTTGTCACCACGCGTCAATTTAGCCTTTTTCTACCGAGCAATCTGGCAATCAAGGCGAAGCCTTTTTATACACTGACTTGGAACTGATCCTCGGCCCAATTTTTTTTTTTGAAACGAGGCAAAAGATTTGCCATTTTCATTGATTAAGAAGAAGAGAATTGCCCGGTTAATTGACGGAAAACCAGGCTAAAATCGATACAACTCAACCCACATGACATGGGCACCACCGGCCAACCTGGCCACCGACATGGGACACAAAGCTGCAAAGAAGAAAGGCACTCGCCGAGGAGCCGCAAGCGTCATCGTCATCACCGGTTGCCTTGAACGAGCGACTCCGACTTCACCATAGAGCTTCAACCTCGAAGCCAACCCGCAAACAGCTGCATAGAAGCCACGACGGCACATGCCACCGGATGGCCACACGCGCAAGCAACCGACAACTCCGACTTTGACGACGAGCCTCACCAGGGAAATATGCAGGACTTGCGCCGACCATGCCCTAAGAGCACCTCGGACACGCCAGGAAGAACCGTCTGTCGAAGTCCACGCCGCGACCCGAGCTCCTCTCGACGCCATCATCGTTGCCAAACAGAAACCAGCGCCCCGCCTCAGCAAACCACACGGCGAAGATGCCGCCATCCACGGCGAAGATGCCGCCATCCACCAGTCTCCCAGTCGTAGCCGGCTCCGAGACGATGCCCCCAAGGAGGAGAAAGACGCGAAGACGCCTCCATCGCCCGATCCAACGGATCTGAGGTTTCCCTCCGAAGCCCAAGCCGTGGGGAGGAGGAGCACACCTTCACGACGACGCTTCCAAGAAAGATCACGGCACCCGCGGGCACCGCCGTCGCCGGCTCCGAAGAAGGCCAGAGCAAAGATTTCTCCCGAAGATGCACCGACCACCTGCCACCACCGACCGCCGCCCACCCTCCACCACCTGCTGAGGCCGACCTCATTCTGGCCGCGGGATCCCACGATCCACCGCGACCAGACACGCACCACCCCCTGGCCGAAGCCGCCGTCCACCACCGCAGCACCACCATGGCTACCACCACCGCAGCGACCAAAGCCACATCGCGAAGCGCAGCATCCAGATCGATGCACCTCGCATCAGATCCAATCGGAGCTGCTCAGGCGAAGAAGCAGAGCAGCCAGCAGGCAGTCCCTCCATAGCACACCTCGCACCCTAGAGAAGCCCACCCGCCACGCTCAGCCGGTCACCGCGCCCGCCGCGCGCCTTCCGCCGTCGCGCCAGGCCGGTCACCGCGCCCCACGCGCACTAGCCAGAACCGAGCCGCCGCCGGGCGCACGCACGCCGTCCACGCCCAAGCCACGCTGGAGCCCGGGCCGAGGCCGCCGCCCCGGCGTCCCTTCCGCCGTCCGCAACCGACGCCAGATGCGCGCCGCCGAGCCGTCACCCCACGGCGCCAGAGCCGCCGCTGCAGGCCGGCCACGCCTGCACACCACCAGATCCGGGCGGGAGGGCCCTGGATCCGTCGCCCCCGCCGGAGGAGAGGAGCTCCAGCCCGCCGGCGAAGGGCTCGCGACGACCATGCGCTGGCGCCGCACGAGCCAGCCACGGGCTACCCGCGCCCTAGAGAAGAAGCCCCGCCGCCGCCGCTGCCACACGGCCTTTGCCCGGCGGAGCATCCCGGCGGCGGCGAGGGGGGAAGACGACGGCGGAAGCCGCTGCCGGTGGTGGCTCGGGTCTGCCGCCCGTGTCGCTCGTGCGGAGCGACGCGGGGGCCCTTTTTTCCCTCTCTAGATCCTCGGCCCAATTTAAGACACATGTAAATCAAAGCGACAAGCTAGGTGTGCAAATGTTACATCCTGGTAATATATGTGTGTTGTAACATGACAGCAATGTTAGATCGATGTGCAAATAAGCACTGGATATATGCATGTATCTCTGTCTGGGGTTTGAAATTTCTCTCGTTTTTTGGGTCAAATGGACATACTAGTATATCACTTTGTATCAAATATAGAGTAGTATATCAGGCCAACTAAGCATTGAATTCATTAATTATCAAAGACCGTTCTTGCGATCATAGAATCAATATAGGTGCGATTTGCTCTGGTCATTCACATAGTCACCGCACATTCCTGTTTATTGAAGTGTGCGGCCCATTATCAGAGAGACAACTACTCCTTGTTTCATAATAGCATGTATGTATGATCTATCATCGTTCGTATCTCCAACAAAACACAAAAGTAGCTTATTCCATTATGAAGAAAAAGTGGTGCCGAAACTCACTGGTGACAAGGGGATCTCACCGGGGAGCGGTTCAGATCTGCGGGCGCGGTTCAGTCATGATGCAGTGTCACACCGGGGAGCACCGTGTGCTCTCTGACGTGTACTATATTCCATGCCTCAAGAAGAAGATCATCAGCTTAGGCCAATTGGATGAAAATGGGTGCAGGTGTGCGGCTGGGGATGGTGTGATGACAGTGTGGGACCGTCAGAGAAGTGTACTTGCTCGTATGAAGCGAACTAGGAACCGAATGTACGTTCTGGATATTCAGCAAACTGAGCCTGTATGCCTGCTCTCCATGGGAGATTCAGAGGCGTGGCTTTGGCGCAAGCGGTATGGTCACGTAAATTTCCGTGCACTGAAGAGATGGTAGAAGGCATGCCTCTCATAGAACATGTGAACAAGATCTGCGAAGGGTGCATGATTGGCAAGCAGAAGAGGCACTCATTCCTAACCGAGGCAGTGTATGGAGCAGTGCAGCCCCTCGAGCTGGTACATGCAGATTTGCGTGGCCCGATTACTCTGGCTACACACAGCGAGAAATAGTATTTTATGTTGGTCGTGGATGATCACTCAAGGTACATGTGGGTTGCTTTTCTGCACACCAATGATGAGGCATTCAACGCCTTCTGTAAGTTCAAAACTGCTGCCGAGCTGGAGCGTGACCTGAAACTGAAAGGGGTGCGCACAGACAGAGGAGGAGAGTTCACCTCAACTGAATTTGTAGAGCAATGTGACCGGCGGGGGATCAAGCATTTTCTGACAGCGCCGTACTCACCTCAACAGAATGGTGTTGTTGAAAGGAGAAACCAGACTGTGGCGGGGACGGCGAGAAGCTTGATCAAAAGTATGGGAGTGCCAGGGAAATTTTGGGAAGAGGCTGCCGAACTAAGAATGTCACATTTTCTGACACCGAATGTGAGACAGCTGTGCATTTTTGGGTGTGTGGGTCATGTGAAGAAGGTGGGTCCAGGCATCACTAAGCTCTCA